TGCTTGTGTTCCCTCTCTCGCTCTCTCTCTGTCAAACAAATAAATAAATCTTTAAAAAAAAAAAAGAAAAGGTGGTCGGGAACTTTATGAGGTAATGGAATGTTCTGTATTTTGGTGATGATTACATGGGTATATATGATTGTAAAAACTCAGTGACCTGAACATTAGTTCATGCTTTTATTGTATGTAAATTATACCTCATTTTAAAAAAGAGAAGACATCCACAACAGAACACTAAATGACAGTAGGAGATACCACATTTGATGAAGTGCCAAATTCAAGGTACAAATAATAGGTGGTAGAAGTGTAGACAAAGATGTAAAAATAGGAATGCACATGTCACAGTAGACTCAATCTGACAGGATTGGCAGGTTGGAAAATGATGGAAGAAGGCATGGAAGGTAGAGTGGAACATACAGGCTATATTGAATGTGAGGCAAAATTAGAGATTCTATGTAGTCTTGATTCTGTGAGTCAAGGGGAGCCATTGAAGGTCCTTCTGTGTATAGGATGAACACAAGGGAGGGATTAAGATGAAAGAACTGCTCCTGGTGGATCAACTTCATATTTGGGCCATATTGGGGAGGGTGGAAATCAGAGGGAGACCAGAAAGAGGTATGAAATGAACAGTATACTCAGCTCAGGATCTGTATAATAATATTGAAAGCTAGGACAGATTTTAAAAAACAAATTGTAATATATATACAGAAAAGTGCCATATCCTAGTATACAGCTCAATGAGTTTTCACAAATAGAACACACCTATGTATAACCTACACCCAGACCAAGAAACAAAATCTCTCTCGGGCTCTCTCCTGGTCGTAAGCCCTGCTCCAGAAGTAACTGTCCTGTCTATTAAAAACAGATTTCTTTTGCCTGTTTTTGGACATTTTTTAAATGAAATCATACATTTCTGGCTTCTTTTCTTCCACAGTATATTTGTGAGATTCATTCATACCGTTGTGTGTATTTGTAGGCTGTTCAGTCTTGTTGCTGCATTGTGTGTACTCATTCCATTGTTGATGGGCTTCTGGTAATTTCCAGTTTGGGCTCTTACAGAGTTACGATGAACATTCTAGTACCTGTAGGTGAACAGACATGTGCATTTCCTTTGGGTATGCACTCAGGACTGAGGTTGTTTGGTCACTGGACATGCAGATGTTCAAACTTAAGTAGCTATAGCAAAGTGGTTGTAAAGAGCTAGGATACATTTGACAGAGGAAGGGCCAAAGGGATGTGCTGATTCATTGGAGATGGGAATGAATGGGAAAGAAGTATGTCAGACCCAGGGCTTGAAAGGTAGGTGACTGTGAAAAATGCAAGCTCCCTGACCAAAAGAGTAAAGTCAGTCTTTTTAAAAAATATGCATTTCTTCGTCTTTTTTTAAATAGAAGTATATAGAAGATAATTAAGCATTTCTTCAATGACTCAGAATCCTCATTATGTACATTAATTATGTGCTGTGCTTTAACATACTGATGCCCCCAGGGTTTATTGGTATTTGTAGGGCCTAGGTTTGTTGTTGTTTTTTTTTTTTTAAAGATTTTATTTATTTATTTGACAGAGAGAGACACAGCAAGAGAGGGAACACAAGCAGGGGGGAGTGGGAGAGGGAGAAGC